CCTGGGGCCGGGCGCGGTGGCTCAAGCCTGTAATCCCAGCACTTTGGGAGGCCGAGACGGGCGGATCATGAGGTCAGGAGATCGAGACCATCCTGGCTAACACTGTGAAACCCCGTCTCTACTAAACATACAAAAAACTAGCCGGGCGAAGTGGCGGGTGCCTGTAGTCCCAGCTACTCGGGAGGCTGAGGCAGGAGAATGGCGTGAACCCGAGAGGAGGAGCTTGCAGTGAGCTGAGATCCGGCCACTGCACTCCAGCCTGGGTGACACAGCAAGACTCCGTCTCAAAAAAAAAAAAAAAAAAAGTTTCTCCTGCCTCAGCCTCCCAAGTAGCTGGGACTATAGGTGTGTACCACCATGCCCAACTAATTTTTTTTTTTTTTTTGAGACGGAGTCTTGCTCTGTCACCAGGCTGGAGTACAGTGGTGCAGTCTTGGCTCACTGCAACTTCCGCCTCCAGGGTTCAAGCAATTCTCTGCCTCAGCCTCCCAAGTAGCTGGGATTACAGGCACCTGCCACCACACCCAGGTAATTTTTGTATTTTCAGTAGAGATGGGGTTTCACCATGTTAGTCAGGCTGGTCTCGAACTCCTGACCTTGTGATCCACCCGCTTGGGCCTCCCAAAGTGCTGGCATTACAGGCGTGAGCCACCGTGCCTGGCCTACTTTTTTAAATTAAATTTTAAAAATTAAGTTTATTTTTAATGTTATTATTTATTTATTTATTTTATTTATTTATTTTTTTGAGACAGAGTCTCTGTCGCCCAGGCTGGAGTGCAGTGGCACAATCTCGGCTCATTGCAAGCTCCGCTCCGCCTCCCGGGTTCACGCCATTCTCCTGCCTCAGCTTCCCAAGTAGCTGGGACTACAGGTGCACGCCACCACGCCCGGCTAATTTTTTGTAATTTTAGTAGAGATGGGGTTTCACCATGTTAGCCAGGATGGTCTCGAACTCCTGACCTCGTGATCCACCCGCCTCGGCCTCCCAAAGTGCTGGGATTACAGACGTGAGCCACCGCGCCCGGCCAATGTTATTTTTTATTTATTTTTGAGATGGAGTCTTGCTCTGTCGCCCAGGCTGGAGTGCAGTAGTACTATCTTGGCTCACTGCAACCTCTGCCTCCAGGGTTCAAGTGATTCTCCTGCCTCAGCCTCCCGAGTAGCTGGGGCTACAGGTGTGCCACCACGCCCGGCTAATTTTTTTGGATTTTTTTTTTTTTTTTTTTGAGACGGAGTCTCGCTATCTCTGAGGCTGGAGTGCAGTGGCTGGATTTTGGCTCACTGCAAGCTCCGCCTCCCGGGTTCACGCCATTCTCCTGCCTTAGCCTCCCAAGTAGCTGGGACTACAGGCACCCACCACCATGCCCAGCTAATTTTTTGTATTTTTAGTAGAGATGGGGTTTCACCGTGTTAGCCAGGATGGTCTCGATCTCCTGACCTCATGATCCGCCCACCTTAGCTTCCCAAAGTGCTGGGATTACAGGCGTGAGCCACCGCACCCAGCCAATTTTTTTTGTATTTTTAGTAGAGACAGGGTTTCACTGTATTAGTCAGGCTGGTCTTCGACTCCTGACCTTGTGATCCACCTGCCTCAGCCTCCCAGAGTGCTGGGATTACAGGTGTGAGCCATGGCACCCGGCCTTATTTATTTATTTATTTATTTATTTATTTATTTATTTATTTTGAGACAGAGTCTCGCTCTGTTGCCCAGGCTGGAGTGCAGTGGTGCGGTCTCAGCTCACTGCAGGCTCCGCCTCCCAGGTTCATGCCCTTCTCCTGTCTCAGCCTCCCGAGTAGCTGGGACTACAAGTGCCCACGACCACGCCTGGTTAATTGTTTTGTATTTTTTTAAGTGGAGATGGGGTTTCACTGTGTTAGCCAGGATAGCCTTGATCTCCTGACCTCATGATCCACCTGCCTCGGCCTCCCAAAGTGCTGAGATTACAGGCATGAGCAACTGCACTGGGCCCAGCCTATTTATTTATTTTTAAAGAGATGGGGTCTCACTATGTTGCCTAGACTGGAGTGCTGTGGCGCTATCTTGGCTTACTGCTGCAAGTGATTCTCCTGCCTCAGCCTTCTGAGTAGCTGGGACGATAGGGATGCACCACCATGTCCGGCTAAATTTTGTATTTTTAGTAGAGATGGGGTTTCGCCATGTTGCCCAGGCTGGTCTCAAACTCCTAACCTCAGGTGATCCACCCGCCTCGGCCTCCCAAAGTGCTGGGATTACAGGCATGAGCCACCGCACCCAGCCATCTGGTGTGTTCTTTGAGGATAAGGCAGCAGTAAGTGTGTTGGGTTGAGACAGCCCTCAGGCCTGTGCCTTCCCTATCCCCACCTTTAACCACAGGGACAGCGTGGTAGAACCCAGTGGTGCCAGTTCATGAACTTTCCATGGAACCAGTTGGTGGCTCTGATCCTTCTGCCCCAAGGTGCTTCTGGTCATTTCTGATGACACTGGAGAAGTCAGTGTCCTTTCCTTATTTTCTCTCTTTTTTTTTTTTTACCTGGGTATTCTGGAAGTGTCTTTCCTCTGACAGTGGTTGCTGGACATGGGGAAACGAAAGGGTATGAAAGAGAAGGAGAGAAGGATAAAGACTACCTCTCATTCCTGCCCTCCCAGAGGGGCAGCCTGGGAAGTCTATGGAGGAGGTGACTTTGAGCCATGATATGACCTTAGATAAAGGGCCCCTCTGAGCCTCAGGAGGCTCTTCTGCAAAATAGGACAAATAAAGAAATGTCACCGGGCGCGGTGGCTCATGCCTGTAATCCCAGCACTTTGGGAGGCCGAGGCAGGTGGATCACCTGAGGTCGGGAGTTTGAGACCAGCCTGACCAACATGGAGAAACCCTGTCTACTAAAAATACAAAATTAGCCGGGCGTGGTGGCACATGCCTATAATCCCAGCTACTACGGAGGCTGAGGCAGGAGAATTGCTTGAACCTGGGAGGCAGAGGTTGCGGTGAGCCGAGATCGTGCCATTGCACTCCAGCCTGGGCAGCAAGAGTGAAACTCCGTCTCAAAAAAAAAAAAAAGAAAAGAAATATCCACTGTGTGCAGGGGCTGAGGCCTGTAATCCCGGCACTTCGGGAGGCCAAGCAAGGCAGGAGAACCACTTGAGCACAGGAGTTCCAGATCAGCCTGGGCAACATAGCGGGACCCCATCTCTACCAAAAAATTAAAAAATTAGCCAGGCACCAGGTGTGGTGGCTCAGGCCTGTAATCCCAGCACTTTGGTAGGCTGAGGCAGGTGGATTCTTGAGCCCAGGAGTTTCAGACCAGCCCGGGCAACATAGTAAGACCCCTGTCTCTACACACACACCAAATTTGCCAGGCGTGATAGTGCACATCTGTGGTCTCAGCTACTTGGGAGGCTGAGGCGAGAGAATCATTTGAGTCCTGAAGCTCAAGACTGCAAGTGAGCTGTGATTCTGCCACTGCCCTCCAGCCTGGGCAACAGACCAAGACTCTGCCTCAAAAAAAGGAAAAGGGCCGGGTGTGGTGGCTCACACCTATAATCCCAGCACTTTGGGAGGCTAAGGTGGACAGATCACGAGGTCAGGAGACTGAGATCATCCTGGCTAACATGGTGAAACCCCGTCTCTACTAAAAATACAAAAAATTAGCCAGGCATGGTGGTGGGCACCTGTAGTCCTAGCTATTCGGGAGGCTGAGGCAGGAGAATGGCATGAAGCCAGGAGGCTGAGCTTGCAGTGAACTGAGATTGTGCCACTGCACTCCAGCCTGGGTGACAGAGTGAGACTCCATCTCAAACAAAAAAAAAAAAGGAAAAGAAAGCTGGATGTGGTGGCTCATGCTTGTAATCCCAGCACTTTGGGAGGCCGAGGCGGGCGGATCACGAGGTCAGGAGTTCAAGACCAGTCTGACCAACATAGTGAAACCCTGTCTCTACTAAAAATACAAAAAATTACCGGGTGTAGTGGTGTGCACCTGTAACCCCAGATACTCGGGAGACTAAGGCAGGAGACTCGTGTGAACCTGGGAGGCAGAGGTTGCAGTGTGCCAAGATGGTGCCATTGCACTCCAGCCTGGGCAACAGTGCAAGACTCTGTCTCCAAAGAAAAAAAAGAAAGATAAAGAAATGCCATCCCAAGGTGGTCCTTCACAGGAAGGGACTCAGAAAAGCAGTGAGCTGGCTGGGTGCGGTGGCTCACGCCTGTAATCCCAGCACTTTGGGAGGCCAAGGCGGGTGGATCACGAGGTCAGGAGGTCGAGACCATCTTGGCAAACATGGTGAAACCCCATCTCTGCTAAAAATACAAAAAAAATTAGCCGGGCGTGGTGGTGGGCGCCTGTAGTCCCAGCTTCTCGGGAGGCTGAGGCAGGAGAATGGTGTGTACCCGGGAGGCGGCAGAGCTCGCAGTGAGCGGAGATCGCACCACTGCACCCCAGCCTGGGTGACAGGCTGGCTCTGTCTCAAAAAAAAAAAAAAAAAGATAAAGAAAAGAAAAGCAGTGAGCTACAATAGCTATCTGAAGCTGGGAGACACTACTGACTACTCACTCTTCGCAAAGGGCTCAGCAGCACACAGCCTCCCTGTGGGGATGCCCTCGGGGAAGATGTGGCCCAGAGTAGTCTTTTAGGTCCTGCTCCTCAGTCCTGGCTCTTAATAGGACCCTCAGCAGTCAAACTAGCACAGCCCGAGCCAGGCTGACGTTAAAAAGTAAGAATTCAGGGCCTAGGGACCTTGAGCAAAGCAGAGAAGTTGGCGTCAGATGAGGTGCAGCAGGTATGGTAGAATAAGGTGTTCTCAGGTCCCCAGTGCAGCCCCTAGATAAGACTGCAGTATTTTCCTTATATGATCTGGTCCCACCGTGGGCAGTGCTGCATGCCCAGAGCCTGAGAGGATTATGAAAACATGGCAAGGGAAGTGAGGCCAGGGAACCCAGCATGGGGGCGTGAGGAGCAGGGGATGGTGGGGGGGGGCTAGAGGACAGGGAGTTTAGGGAGGCCTCTGCTGCTGTGACTGTGAGCCCCAGCCAATGATGGTGTGGCCACTGCACAATCTGAGTTCTGAGAACCACATGGTGAAGTGTGTTCTGGGAATAGACTGCAGCAAGGAAAAAAAAAAAGCAGAAGGGTGCACCCTCCCTTCCCTGGCCAGGAAAACATTTCTGTAGCCCTTGCAGACCCACTGCACAGTAGTGAGAGGGAGGAAAGCCAGGCTCATGTTTTCCTTGGTTGTGCTTCAACATCTAAAATATGTTTTTACTATGAACATTTTAATGAGGGGTTGGACATAAGACAGAAAAATAACATTCTGATAGCTTGTTTGGAGGTCCTAGCAGGGGAGCGCAGCTACTCTTATACCTTTGACTGAAGACCGATCCTCCTCTATCGGGGATGGTCATCCTCTTCCACTGAGCGCACAGCTTCTGGAGGGACACACACGGAGCAGTGAGGGAGGAAGGGGATACCCGCCCAGTCAGCCAGATCAGCCGAATCAACCCTGGTGATCAATGGGGTGACAGATGTCGCAGCCAGATCACCCTCACATCCCAAAAATAACATTCAGATTGCATTTTTTTTTTTTAAGATATAGACTTTTCTTGAGACTTTCATACAAGGCAATGGATAGACAACATTAACCTCCTAGAGAAAACACACATTGGCCACAGAAAAAAGGCACTTCTCCATATACCTACCATAGTTATCAGCAACTTTTGAAATGGTCTGTCAAACTCTCAGGGGCTGGCTTGTTTTGCTTGCTTTTGCAAATAACTCAGGCTTAAGTCCTGCTACTTTCAGAGTCTAGGGAACACTTAAGGACTACCATCAGTTTAAGGACTACCATCAGTTTAACATGGTGGCACTTGGAGCACATGCTACTTATGGTGGTGAGGAGGGGTGCTGGTGTGAGGGTCTGCAAGATTGCCTCTTCTCTGGCAGGGTGTGAGCAGCCAGAGGCCGCTACCTGGGCAAGGATGCTTGCTCAGTGTCCATGGAGGGACATGTGATCCAGCAGGTGGGCAGGAACCAGGCCTCTGTGGCCGCCCAACTCTCCATAATAGAATCCTTGATCATCCATAGGCCCATAAACCATGACCACGTCTCCTGCCCTCAGCGCCAGCCTGCCCTTCGCTTGGCCCCCTGTTTGCCCATCCATGGGATCATAGTCCAGAGCTGCTATCATGGTCTTTGGAGTCCACAGTGGGGGCCTCTTGGAGTTCCCTTGGAGCACCAGGGAGGAACCCCGGGGGATGGTGAGCCCCTGAAAGTCCTCAAGGTGGGCCACAGAAGGCAGGTGCCCTTGGGCCGGCAAACGCTGCGTCCTGTCAGTCTGCTCTGTGCCCACCTCCATCTCAGCCACTAGGTGCCCAGGGATATTGCCCACTTGCCTGTTGTGCTCGCTGAGATAGAAGCTGTGGGTGTTCTGGGAGCCCCACACTCTTAGCAACTGCCTTTTCTGGAAGACCAGCTCCTCCTTTGCAGCCTTGGGGTTGGCAGACATCACCAGGGGGCTGTAATCAGAGAGGGCCACAAAGACCCTGGCTGGAGTGTTGGCCCCTGTCCCCAGCTGTTGGGGGCCACCCCTTGGCATCTTGATGACTTTGGCAGATGGAGCTGGACACGGTGCTGAGCTGGGCTCATGGAGCTGGCACTCTCTCTTGGCCCCCAGAGCCTGTCCTTGCCTGCTCTGGGGCTTGGGCTCCCACCTCTCCTCTTGCCTCTCTGTGCCCCACGGATCCAAGCACAGTGCCTCCTGCTCCTCCTCCAAAATGTTATGGAAGTCAGATGCATACTGTTGGCTGGCGCCCAGCTCGGGAGGTGTGAACCCTTGGGCATCTTGCTTTTGCCGAAGTATCCTCTCAAGGGCAACCTTTTCCTGACACGGTTCTTTCCTGGACCCACACTTGGTGTGTAGTTGGATGAATCCTGGAGCAGGGCTTTTGCTGGCGCCCATGTGCTGGTAGCAATTTTCCTTCTCCCCAGGCTGGTCACTGAGCAAAGGTGGTCTGTGATGCTGGGGACTCTTCTGAAAGAGCAGGTCCTTTCTACAGCCCTCCCAGGCCTCTGCAAGCTCCTGGGCTTGGCTGCCAGTCCCTGAACTCAGACATTCTCCTTCTGAGCCCAGGTTGGACACTGGGGATTGCCTCCTTGGTGGTTCTTCAAAGAATGCTTCTAGGAACTTGTCCTGGGGCTCCCCACAGCTTCCAGGGTTGTGGGGGCTGGCCTGGGCATTCAGAGGAGCCAGTGCCAGCTTCTGGGGGCAGACGGGGAAGGTGACTCTGTAGGTGGATGGGTCGCCACAAGTGTAGCTGAAGGGTGGAGTCTCTGGCCATTGGTGACACATGAAGCAGTCCTCGGGGATCTGAGCTGGCACCGAATCCAGGGACTCACCACAGAGTGACATGGTTCTCACTGAGACCTTCTGCCACGTTAGGGGCACCTGTAGCTGGGAGAATTCCAACAGGGTGCTCCCAGCAGTGGCATCGGTGACCTCACAAACCTTAAGCCCATCTGCATACACAGCATAACCCGTGACCTGGACTCCATTGGAAGACCCAGCTGAGTCAATGGTCACAGGGAGCCAGCTGACCACTAGGACGCCTGGCGAGGCATGGCGCTCCACCAGCACATCCAGTGGTGGGTGGGGAGGTCCTGCCAAGAGTGTGTCAAAGGTGATGGTGGAGGACATAGTTCCCCAATACACCTGCAGCAAGTCCCATGGCAGCCGCACCTCCACCCGCGCCCGGTAGTGCATGCCAGGGCACAGGCCCTGGAAGGTGTAGCAGCTCACACCCGCTGGGGTCAGGGCATGCTCTCGGTCATCAAGATACACCACGTGGGGGTGGCGGTGGCTGCTGTAGACCCAGGTGATCTTGGCCGATGTGGCTGTGACATTCTGCAGGTGTAGCTGCATGGGAGCCATACGGAGCACCCCTTTGGTCCCCAGAAGGGATCTGGAAAGGCCCTGCTTCCCCATGCTCTGCAGCAAGCCCAGCTGGCAGGCTTCCATCTTGGTATCCAGGATCTCTGTTGCTACTTCTGTCTTGGAGCCCACCCTTACCATCTGGTATAGCCCTCTGTCCACCACTCCCTGGGCTTCCCCAGGTAATAAGCTGTCTTCCTCCAGAGCTTCATCCTGCCCAGCTGGGAGTTGATGGGGGCGTGGGTCAGGGGATTTTGCAGGTAGGCAGCCTGAGATGTAGCTGTCTGGAATCTGCTCCACCAAGTTGGAGGGCACCAGCCCCCGCCGGCCATCCTCAAGCTCCCCCTCATAGAATCCATCTTCATCCGTGTCCCCAAAGATATATATGTAGTCCCCAGCCGTGAGGGGCAGCTCACCCTCCGGGTGATCATTGGGCCCCTCGAATGGGTCATAGTTATACTGAGCCATGAAGATCTTGAGCTTGGGGGCAGCAGGAGCCGCTGAGCCCCCCACTTCCAGGGCCAGGGACACGCTGTCAGGCTCCAGGTCATCCACTTCACTGGCTGTGTCCCTATCCAGAGTAGGGCAGGATGGCACGGTGGCCCACATCGACCCCTCAGAGGAGGAGTTTGACTGGGAGCTGGTTTTCTTGGACAGAGGTTGGCTGGCAGGGACTGTCTCTGAAACTTGGGGGACACTGGCTGGCTCCCCAAGAGCAACTGGGCTCTCCTCGAGGGAGACTTCCCTTTTCTCATGTATGTCTCTGTTGGGCTGTGACACTGTGTAGTCTTCAGGCCGTGCCTGGAACTTGGGCCTTATGCTACCCTTAACTTGGGACTCCGGCATTTGACTGGTCTCCCAGGGCTGTTCGGGAGGGTGAACAGGCTGACACTGGAGCGCCTGTATCTCCTTCTGGGAAGCATGAAGGTCACACAGGGCCTTCTGCGGGTCGCATTGCAGCTGCTGCTGCCTGTCCTGCCCGCGCGCCGCCTGCTGCAGCAGCTGTTCGACCATCAAGCCGGCGGCATCGCGCTCTTGACACGCGCGGCCCACGTGGCCGCGCACTTCGCTATTCTCCGCCTCCACCTTCCGCACCCAGTCTGTCTTGGCCTGCAGCCGCCCATTCTCCTCCGCCAGCCAGGCGTTTTTGAGCAGCGCCGCCTGCAGCTGTGTTTCGGCCTCCTCGCCGCGTCGCCGCGCCGCCGCCGCCTGCGCGCCCAGCTCCTCGCACTCGCGCCGCCGCTGGTCCAGCTCGCTCTCCAGCGCCAGCATCTGCCGTCGCACCTCCTCGCAGGTTGTGCTCTGGCCACCCGCCTCGGGCCTGGCGCCACCGTTGCCCTGCTGAAGCGTCAACTGCCTCTGCAGGCGCAGCACTTCCCGCTGGGACTCGCGCTGCAAGCGGTCTAAGTCTCTGACGTTGAGCCACTGGGTGCAGGGGCCTCCCCTTCCAGTATGCGGGTCGCTGCAGGGGCCCGAGGCGACACGCGCCTGCAGGAGGTGGCACTCCTGCCGCAGCTCTTCAATCTGCTTGTCCTTGGCCAGCAGCGCGCTCGCCTGCTCCGACAGGTCCCGGGCGCGCTGGCAGGCAAAGGCTTGGCATAGCTCCAGGCCGGCGCAACTCTCGCCGGGCACAGGCGCGCTCACCGCCCGAAGGTTGGTCTCCTGCAGCTTGCGGGCGCGGTCAGCTAGGCGACGCGCGAGCCCGGTCAGCTCCGCGCGCTTTACCTTAAGCCGCTTCACCTTCTCGTCTGCCTGGTAGGGGCAGCCTGCACGCCGCAGCTGCTTGTTCTCCTCTTGCAGGGTAGAACAGCGGCGCGCCAGCACCCGCAACGCCTTGGCCAGCAGCCAGTTCAGCTTTATCAGCTCTTGGTGGCCCAGGCCCGGGGGTGAGGGAGTCAGGACTTTGCAGGGCTGGCTCTCAGAGCCTTCTCCTCCCTGCGGGTTGCTGAGTTTCCTGTGGACTGATGGTGGTAGTGGTGGCAGGCGTGGCGATGGTGGCGGCCGGAGTGGCGATGGTGGCGGCGGGAGACTCTGGGAGCCAGGGATGGAGGTGTCTGGTGAGGAGGACCGCTCCTCGGATTTGGAGGCCTTGGGGAGACTCCGGGTGCTGTCAAGCGAGCGGGAACGTGCTGGTGCGAAGCAATCAAGGGAGCTGGCGCGCGTGGAGAGCAGTCCGTCTAGGGAGCTGGAGCACGCAGAGGACACCAGGTCAAGCGGGCGGGAGTGGACACCGACGTCGGCACTCAGGCTGTCTAGAGATCCGAGTTGACAGGCGGGTTTAGGGGCGTGGCAAGAGCCGCTCGAGGTCTGGGGCAGCGGCTCTTCCAAGGAATGCATAGCTTGGGGGTCCGCGGGTTCCGACAAAGCGGGGTTCCTGCGGAAGTGCTCCAGGATGTACCTGAGGAAGAGCTGGCGCTCCACCTCCAGCGCCGCCTGCAGATAGCGGATGCGCGCCGCCTGCTCGCCGTCAGTCTGCCAGCGAAGTTGCCCCAACACTTCCTGCAGGCGACAGCGGCACTGCCCCGCGGAGACCTCGGACGCCCCCGGGCGGCTACAGTGGCCGCGGTTCACCAGCTCCTCGGCCAGCTGGCGCTGCAGTTCCCGGGCTTGGCGCACCACGCCATCGCGCTCACGGTGCAACAGCTGCTGCAGCTGCCGCTGCTCGGCGTCTTTCCAGCGCAGCAGCTGCCGGATCTCGGCCTCGCGTTCCCGCTGCATCTCCTCTTGCAGCTGCCGCAGCTCCCGGCCGCGCTGTGCCTCCCACTTGGAGCGCAGATGGTCAGCCAGCTGCCGCCGCTCCCTCTCGGCCTCCTCCCGCAGCTGGCGCGCCTGAGCAGCGAAGCGCCGCCGTTCCGCCCGCCAGCCCGCCCGCTCCGCCTCCAGCTCGGCCCGTAGCTTTTCCAGCTCCCGCCTCTGGTTCTCCAACACTGCCGCTGCCGGGCTGGAGCAGCCCAGCTTCTTGGGCGACGCGCCCAAGGGGCTGGGCGAGTCCTTGGCCATTGCGGCCGCGGCCCGGCTGGACTCCAGACTTCGCCTGGCCGACGGCAGCTCGCCAACGGCCGCCGCCCCGGCAGCGGCCAACCGCCCGGCGTGCCCCTTCCGGCGCCCCCTGGGGGTCTCCGCGCGCCCCTTCCGTCTCTTGGAGTGTTCCCCCGCCTCCTGCCACGGATGTCTGGCCCACGCGCCTCTCCACCTGGCAAGGCCAGGGCTGCACTCCGACACCCCTGCTCAAACAGGCCCATGTCCCTTCCAGGATGCACGAGGGTTCTTCTGGTCCCTACACTTTTCCTGCTTCTAGCACCATGTCCCTTGTGACCCTCCTTAGGCACCCTCCCAGGCACTGTGCAGTCCCAAGCAGGCTGAGGTGCCCTGAGGGAAGTCTGGGCTGCTGCTCCTGGACTTGGAGAAAGGGGCAGGGTGTGTGTGTCAAGGCCACCCATGGGGTGTGGGCATACCTGGTCGTGGGTTCAGGTGGTGTATTTGGGTCAGGTGGCTGGAAAATGCAGTAGGATATGCCTCATCTTGGCTAGACCTGGACTCCCCAGGATCCTTCAGCTCCCATAACAGCCCTGATCATCCAACTGGTCATCCACCTTTTGGGGAAAGGATGTGCCTGATACCCATTTGTGTTACTGTGCAGAGTCGGCTCAGAGGAGGTATAAACAAAAAGACCCTCCCCAGCAAGGTGGCATAGGGACCCAGGGCCAGATAGGCATGAGGGGCACTGCCCAAACTGGCCATCTGGCCTGCCTACCTCCCACATCCAGGTACCACCTGGTGACAAACACTGGAGCCCCAGTGTCTGGGCTACTCATCGGCACTTTAGGTAGAGGCCTCAGGATGCGCCAGGAGAGAGGGTGAGGCTTCAGCAGAAATGCTGGAGGCATCCTGAGCCGCAGAAGACACACACACACACACACACACACACACATACACACACACACAATGAGCTGCAGAAGAAACATACAGACACACATACACACACACAAAATGAGCTGCAGAAGAAACATACAGACACACACACACACACACACACACACACACATACACACACACACACACTGCCTGTCTCTGACTGGTGGCCACCTGTGTGGCTTGGGAGCTAAGGAGCCCTGCTTCAGTCTGGCTCCTCTTTGCCCTTCCTGCCTGTTCCTGGTGCCAAGTGGCTTTTGGGAAACATGGATGGACACCTGATATCTGGCCATCTGCATCGAGACATTGGTTTTTAAATTATTAATATTATTATTATTATTTTTTGAGACAGATCCTCACTCTGTCACCCAGGCTGGAGTACAGTGGTGCAATCTCGGCTCACTGCAACTTCTGCCTTCCAGGTTCAAATGATTCTTCTGCCTCAGCCTCCCAAGTAGCTGGGATAACAGACTCGTGCCACCATGCCCAGATAATTTTTTGTACCTTTTAGTAGAGACAGGGTTTCAGCATGTTGGCCAGGATGTTCTTGAAATTCTGACCTCAAGTGATCCACCTGCCTGGGCCTCTCAAAGTGCTGGGATTACAGGTGTGAGCCACTGAACCCGATGAGACCTTGATATTGAAGTCACATCAGAGGCCCCTTTACTTCTCGGTCTGTCGTGTCTCCCTGTCCCCAGGAAGCTCCTGGGACCTCTTGCAACTGCTGTGTTCACTCAGCTTATGACTCTCTGGCTCCACTCCTTCACAACACTCAAGTTTTTCAAATCAAGTTCCCCTGAACCCACAGAAAATGCCTTTAGGCAGTGTCAAGTAACAAGAACATCGGGAATTATGGCTCCAAATGTTCTTTTTTCTTTTCTTTTTTTTCTTTTTTTTTTGAGATGGAGTCTCGCTCTGTTACCAGGCTGGCATGCAGTGGTACGATTTCAGCTCACTGCCACCTCCGACTCCCTGGTTCAAGTGATTCTCCTGCCTCAGCCTCCTGAGTAGCTGGGATTACAGGCATGCGCCACCACGCCCAGGTAATTTTTGTATTTTTAATAGAGACAGGGTTTCATCATGTTGGCCAGGATGGTCTCGATCTCCTGACCTTGTGATCCTCCTGCCTTGGCCTCCCAAAATGCTGGGATTACAGGCGTAAGCCACCATGCCCAGCTCAGATGTTCTTTTTGAGAGGTGAAGCAGATGTAGTGTGTGTGTGACAAGGAGAGGAGGTGAGATGCAGGGATGCCCTTAGCCTTGAACTGGTGCTGGGCTCCTGGACGTGGTAGCCACAGGGAGGACTATCTTCAGAGAATCATCATCACAGCCCTGTTTTACCAAAGAGAACCTGAGGCTCAGTGGGAGCCACTGGCTTGCCAGGGCACATGGGAAACTGAGGCAGAGTTGGTGGGTGGGGCTCCACAGCCTGGATGACCTGCTGCAGTCTCCGGTAGGGCCTTAACTGTCAGGTCAGGAGGGCAGGCTGGGCCAGGCATGGTGGAACAGGCCTGTAATCCCAGCCCTTTGGGTGACCAGGGTGGGAGGATCACTTGAGCCCAGGAGCTCAAGACCTGCCTGAGCATCATAGAGAGACCCCATCTCTACAAAAAAATAATTAGCTGGGCGTGCTGGTGCATGCCTGTAGTGCCAGCTACCCAGGAGGCTGACATGGGAGGGTCACTTGAGCCTGGGAGTTTGAGACTAGCCTGGGCAACAGAGTGAGCGAGACCCAGTCTATAGTTCTAGCTGAGGTGAAATGATTGCTTGAGCCTGCAAGGTGAGGTCAAGTCTACAATGAGCCGTGATGGCACCACTGCACTCCAGCCTGGGCAACAGAGCAAGACTGTCTCAAAAAAAAAAAAAAAAGTGCTGGGCGTGGTGGCTCACTTCTGTAATCCCAGCACTTTGGGAGGCCGAGGTGGGCAGATCACAACGTCAGGAGATTGAGACCATCCTGGCTAACATGCTGAAACTGTCTCCACTAAAAAATACAAAAATAAGGCCGGGCGCAGTGGCTCAAGCCTGTAATCCCAGCTCTTTGGGAGGCCGAGATGGGTGGATCACGAGGTCAGGAGATCGAGACCATCCTGGCTAACATGGTGAAACCCCGTCTCTACTAAAAAACACAAAAAGCTAGCCGGGCGAGGTGGCCGGCGCCTGTAGTCCCAGCTACTCTGGAGGCTGAGGCAGGAGAATGGCGCGAACCCGGGAGGGGGGGCTTGCAGTGAGCTGAGATCCCACCACTGCACTGCAGCCTGGGTGACAGAGCGAGACTCCATCAAAAAAAAAAAAAAAAAAAAGAAAGAAAGGAAGGAAGGAAGGAAGGAAGTAAAGGAAGGAAGGAAGGAAGAAAGAAAAGGAGCAGGTTGGCCAGGCTTGGTGGCTCATGCCTGTAATCCGAGAACTTTGGGAGGCCAAGGCGGGCAGGTCACCTGAGGTCAGGAGTTCGAGACCCGCCTGGCCAACATGGTGAAAACCCGTCTCTACTAAAAATGCAAAAATTAGCTTGGCATTGTGGCGCATGCATGCCTATAATCCCAGCTACTTGGGAGGTTGAGGCAGGAGAATTATTTGAATCTGGGAGGTGGAGGTTGCAGTGGCTGCAACAGCACTCCAGCCTAGGCAACAGAATGAGACTCCATCTCAAAAAAAAAAAAAAAAAAAAAAAAAAAGAGAAAGAAAGAAGGAAAGAAAGAAAGAAGAAAGAAAGAAAAGGAGCCGGTCAAAACTCCTGTGCTAATCAGTAGTAGGATCGTGCTTGTATGAATAGCCACTGCGCTCCAGCCTGGGCAACATAGTGATGAGATGCTATCCCTAAAAAAAACACACATAAGCTGGGTGCAGTGGCTCACACTTGTAATCCTAGCATTTTGAGAAGTCAAGGCAGGAAGCTTATGTGAAACCAGGAGATTGAGACCAGTCTGGGCAACAAAGAGAGACCCTCATCTCTACAACTTTTTTTTTTTTTTTTTTTTTTTTTTGAGACGGAGTCTCTCGCTCTGTCGCCCAGGTTGGAGTGCTGTGGCCGGATCTCAGCTCACTGCAAGCTCCGCCTCCTGGGTTCACGCCATTCTCCTGCCTCAGCCTCCCGAGTAGCTGGGACTACAGGCGCCCGCCACGGCGCCTGGCTAGTTTTTTTCTACAACTTTTTTTTTTGAGACGATGTCTTGCTCTGTTCTGCAGCCTGGAGTGCAGTGGCATGATCTCAGCTCACTGAAGTGAGCCATGAGTAAGCCACCACAGTCCTGCCTGGAAGACATAGTGACACCCTGTTTCTAAAATAAACAAAAAAAGTCAGGCATGGTGGCATGCGCCTGTAGCCCCAGCTACTTGGGAGGCTGAAGCGGAGGATAGTTTCAGCTCAAGAATTCAAAGCTGCAGTAAGCAATGATCATGCCACTGCACTCCAGCCTGGGCTACAGAGAGAGACTCCATCTCTAAAAAAAAAAGTAAAATAAAATAAATTTTAAAATTGTTTTATTATTTATTTTTTGGAGACAGGGTCTTGCTCTGTCATCCAGGCTGGAGTGCAGTGGCGTGATCTCGGCATACTGCAATGTTTGCCTCCCGGACTCAAGCAATCCTCCCACTTTAGCCTCCCGTGTAGCTGTGACTTCAGGCTAACACTACCATGCCCGGCTAATTTCTCTTTTCTCTTTCCTTTTCCTTTCCTTTTCCTTTCCTTTTCCTTTCCTTTCCCCTTTCCTTTCCTTTCCTTTCCTTTCCTTTCCTTTCTTTTCCTTTCTTTTCCTTTCTTTTCTTTTCTTTTCTTTTCTTTTCTTTTTTTTTTTTTTGTAGAGATAGAGTCTTACCATGTTGCTTAGGCTGGTCTTAAACTCCTGACCTCAAACAATCCACCTGCCTCAGCCTCCCAAAGTACTGAGATTATAGGCAAAAGCCACCACACCTGGCCAATAAAAAAAAATTAACAGGCCAGGTGCAGTGGCTCATGCCTGTAATCCCAGCAGGGAGGCCGAGGTGGGCGGATCATGAGGTCAGGAGTTCGAGACCAGCCTGGTCAATATGGTGAAACCCTGTCTCTACCAAAAATACAAAAATTAGCTGGGCATGCTGGCAGGCGCCTGTAATCCCAGCTACTCAGGAGGCTGAAGCAGAATTGCTTGAACCCGGGAGGCGGAGGTTGCAG